AACAACAACAACAACAAGGCCTTGTTTAGTTAAAAACCTTAAACAAGGACCGGACAGACTGTTTCCTTCTTCAGAAAATGAACCTCAGCTTTTATTTTTTGGTGGAAGATAGGGAAGGATTTTAAAAAACAAAACAAAAAACACTCTTTTTTCCACCTACACATGATCTGGTGTAAACCAAACCCAAATGGCAATAGCTGAATTCAAACTGGAATTTAATTTGAAGCAAATAACTTGAGTACTTTCTTCATTCCTAGTACTGTGTTTACAGTTCTTTAATAAAGAGAAAGGAGCTCTGTTTGCACAGTAGGTAAAGTGCTCGGCTGCTAACTGAAACATTGGCAGTTCAAACTCACCAGCTGCTCTGGTGGAGAAAAATGTGGCAGTCTGCTTTTGTAAAGATTTACAGCTTTTGAAACCATATGCGGGCAGTTCTGCCCTGTCCTACAGGGTTGCTATGAGTCAGAATCAACTCAATGTCAGCAGGTTTGTGTTTTGAGGTTAAAAGAGAAACATGTAGAAATGAAGTCTGTGAAGAACTCAACTTTTTGTACTTTCTGCATACTGTGCTACTTTGCAGCTTTTCTGATGCAGGCACTAGATAGAAGGAAGGTTAGAAGACAGAAGGGAAAGTAATTGAATCACATCCAAGTTACAAAATTGACTTAGAGTCATATTTTCTTCCTTCACAAATACCCTACTAAGCATTTGTGTCCTGACCCTAGTCAGTAAAATCTTATGGGACTGCAAATTTAAAAAGTAGAGGGTACTATTAGCTCTATGGCTGTTGCAGGTAGAACTTAAAATGAATTGTGAAGTCAAAGGTACTGTCTAAACAGAACACAGTCAGATGTGCTGTCATGACTCAGACTTGGAATGTGCCTTAGAATTCTGGACTTTTCATCATTTTTTTTAATATTAATTTTTTTTTTTTTTCCTAAAAATCTTGAAGTACAAGGAAAAGTGCTGGGAATTTGCACATGAACTCAAAATATTTATGGCACTTATCTACTCTAGCCTCGGAAGGAAGGTTGGGCAATCCTACTTCCATAGTGATACTGCCTCGGAAACCCAAGGAGGGGTCGCTATGAGTCGGGGCCGACTCGACGGCACACAACAACAACAACAACAACATCTACTCTAGCCAGTATTTAAGTCAACCATCAGACTTAACCTTCAACCGAATGTTTTGCTACCTCTGTTTGCAGCCACATTCTTTATAACTGCTGGGCTTAAGTGTCAGATGAAGCTTAATCAAGCCGTTGGTTGCTTTGCTTTCTGGCTTCTAGGACATATACAACCCAAAGGTATATAGAAAGAGATTGGAAATGCGTTCTTTGAAAAATACTCTTTCTCTTTTAGAGAAGGAGAGAAACTAAAGGGATATTTTACAACCCTGAAAAAACTATTCTTTATTTGTCTTTCCATGCTCAACTAGTAGCTTCATATTTCTTTTTCTTGTCTTCTTTTTCACTTTAATGTTCTCTTTTAGAAATAGGTGGGTGATAAATCAAGGCATTCTCAGGTTATATGAAAAATTTCAGGTAACTTGTAATTTTGCCTATTATCCCAAACTGAAGCATTTTAGATTTATTTAAATCCTTCTAGGGATAAAGGGATGGTGATGGGGAAAACTGTTACCTTTCCATTCTCTGTTTGCTAAAATTTTCAGTGTGGGGACAGTTACCATTATTGATCATGCTACTTATACCATACCTATAGTCCTTTACGTTTTAGAGCAGTGGTTCTCAACCAGGGAACATTTGGCAACGTCTGTAGACATTTTTGGTTGTCACAACTGGGAAGTTCTACTAGCGTTTAGTAGTTGGATGCCATACATGCTGTTAAATATCCTACAATGCATAGAACAGGCTCGTACAACAACTAATACCCACTGCCATCGAGTTGATTCTGACTCATAGTGACCCTGTAGGACAGAGTAGAGCTGTCCTATGTGGTTTCCAAGACTAAATCTTTCCAGAAGCAGACTGTCTCATCTTTCTCCTACGGAACAGCTGGTGTCTTCTGAACAACAGCCTTTTGGTTAGTAGCTAAATGCTTTAACCACTGCGCCACCAGAGCCCTCCAACAAATAATAACCAGTCCAAATTGTTAATGGAGTCAAGATTGAGAAATCCTGCATTAGAAGGATCTGGGAATTGCAGTAGGAAAATGAAAAAGATATAAGCGTCTTAGAAATAAACCTCAATAGCCCATAAATGAAGCCAGGTTCATCTGTCAGTTGACAGTGGCTCTCTAAGAAGTATATATTCACATATTTTAAAAAAGTAATTACATGTAGAACTACTGAAATAAAAAGGATAATATCAAGATACTATGAAGAACTGTACTCCAACAAATTTGAAAATCTGGAAGAAATGGACAGATTTCTAGAAACACACCACTTACCTAAGCTACCATG